GCCTTGGTCCCGCCAACCTCTTTCCTCCACACCTCTGTGCCTTCACCCCTTTCCTTGCCTACTGGTGCTCAGACATCCTGCACAGATTCCCTGACCCTGATCTTTCCAGGAAGAGCCCAAGCCTTGCGTGAACCCCTTCTCCTCCCAGCACCTCCTCATCATATTGCTCCCTCTGTCTGCTCTATGAACTGGCAGGGACCAGGGCTTCTTCCCTGCCTCAGTAGCCTGGCACAGCGCATAGTAGGAGTGCTCAGTGCTTCTCGTGTGGCAGGAGGCTACAGATGTCCCATACCCACCAGGCAGCAAGAGTAGCTTTCTTGTTTCTTAATTCACAGGACACCTCATGGAGTCTCCTACACTAGTCACTTCCTGGGCTTCCATGGTCCCTTGGGAAGCCCCCTGTTGGCCAGCTTTCAGTTCAATTTGGATGGCAGTGTCAGTGACCCCATGGGGTGCATTGCGAACTGGTGGTCAACTTGTAATACCCAGCTGAATTGAACTAGCATGGGCCTGCGTATGGGAGGCCCATTTGGGGCTTGTGGCTGGCAGTATAAAAGAAGTGGAGAGGAACCAGGGTTGTTGGTTTTTCTGGAGCACCTTGTCATGTTAGCTTCCCCGATGAATTGGCTGTTCTCGTTGACGGAGCTTGGAAACGCATTCTTGCTGAGGATGGCTGCGATTCACTTGGGGGAGTTCTTGTCCTCACCTTGAGCATCACTTCCTGGCTGTAGATGGTTGCAACTCTATTTTTATTTATTTTGCATTGAGATAGGGCATCACTATATATGTAATTCAGGCTGCCTTTTTTTTTTTTTTTCTTTTTTGCGTGGTATTGGGACCTTGTGCTTGCCAGGCAGGTGCTTATGCCACTGAGCTATATCCTCAGCCCTAAAGGTTTTTGTTTTTGTTTTTGTTTTTGTTTTTGTTTTTGTTTTTGTATTTTAGCACAGGGTGTACAGGGTCTCACTACATAGATTGGACTCTTAGTGATCTTCCTGTTTATAGCTTCCCAAGTGCTGGGATTAGAGGTACGAGCCACCACGCCCAGTCTCCATCACCTTCTTATGCACCCTGGGGGCGGGGCTGGCAAGGCAGGCCTGGGGATCGAGCTCCCAGCCCCTGCATCTGCCTGAGCAGGTGCTTTAATCTGCTGAGCTATTTGGCTGGCCTGGCTGTGAGTGGGAAGACAGTACACTGCTCCCTGTCCTGGAGAAGCTTGTTGCACTGGCTTTCCTGATGGGAACTCGGCTTTCCTCATCTGTAGAGGAGCTCTGGATCTCACTGTCACTAAGGATGGCTGTGGTAAGTTTCAGAAGAGCTCTGGTTCTCACCTTGAGCATTGCTTCGTGGCTCCAGGTCAGATCCCTCAGCCTGGCAGCAGAGGTTCTTTATCCCACTGATGCAGACTTTCTGGCTTCTACCACTGACCTTTGGGCCTTCCTAGTGTAGATCTGAGAAATGGGCCTGTATGAGATACTGTCCAAGGCTCTTGGCCTCCAGTTGGACATGTGGCAGGTGTTATTAAGGGCTGTCGGATTCAGGCAGGACAACGCAGTGGGATCCAGGCCTTCAGCTGTATTCTTTGGTCTTTAGTGTGTGAATAGATTTCTTGCACTCTCTTTTTAAATATGCTTCTTTGGGTGACTATTATACAATAATCGTACAAAATGTGTCATGTATTGTATTGTTTCCCTTGCAAGCCCCAATGTTATTACATCCTGCTTTTGTGCTCCACAGTACACAGAAAAACCAGCTCTGATAAGCATGTTCTGGCCTCTGCCCACCCAAAGACCCTGGGAATGGAGAAAGAACCTAAGTCAGTTATTAGACATACCATCCTCGGACTCAACTGGAATGTGGGAAGGAAACGCCTTTTCCCAGAGACCACGATGTGGAAACAGGCCTTGCTTGACTAGAAGGCCACCACACAGCAGGCCCCAGGATGGCACACACAGCCTGGTGCTCGGGCCCTGGTTTCCTCTTTGGAGTCCAGCTGGCCTGATGCTCCTCATAGTGTAGGCTTATGAATGCACAGACCTTTCCCCCCATGGTGACAGCTACTCAAATGGATTTCTGTCACCTGCCCATCATGGGTGGAATCCTGCATACTGCTGCCTATCTCTGGTCGAGGTTCAGGTCACAGGCAAACAGCTGTAACATCCCCCACCACACAGCTTGCCAGACGGTGCCACTTCTGTGCTTGGCACCCCCTCCCCTGAACGTTGGAAGCACTGGCACCACTGTACAGTGCACAGCACTGGAAGAAGGGTGGAGAGAGAATGCACAGAACATAAGTTTTCACCACCTCATGGACTCATTAATGTGCAGCTAAGCAGATGAGAGGGAACACACAGAATCCAGAACACTAGCTGAGCAGGACCAGTGTGGGGTGTGGCCGAGGCACTGGTTCGAGCTGGTTTGAGCCTAGGGTGCAGACTGCGACCTGGGGAACTGATCCAGGAGGCGCAGGTCCACCTCTCTGCTCCACCCGTCAAGTCTGCAAGCAGCTCCCTCTCTTACTGCCAGCGGAGGCAGGAGCATTGTGCTTACCAAAGGGACACTGGTCTCCACCTTACATGCTGATTCCCTGTAGGCTCCCAGGGCTTCCTTCACAATGGGAAGAAGGTGGCCGGAAGAGGCCCTGGCTGCCAGGCTGCTCTTAGTTCAGCCAACTGATCTGCCTCACCTAACTCGGTTTTATTTTCTTCTCTCCTTTCTTCTCTTTTATTCTTATTCTACTTTATTTTTCACTCTACTTTTCTATTTGGTCTGACCATAAGAGTTTGGTAAAAACTCAAATCTAGACTCCATTGAATGAAAGCTAAAGCCCTAGTTAATGGAAACCAAAATTAGGGAGAAATTATATTATGAAAAGCATCTGAGGCCAGATCTGTTACTGCATTACAGGTTAGGACTCCCTGAGCTTTTCAGGGAAAAGCATTTTATCAAAGGAAAAAACACTAAATGGCAGGTCTTAAGGCTGCCTTTACTGTGGCCAGAGCCCTTTTCTGTGAGAAGCATGCAGGAAACGCTCCCACTTTAGCTGGCTGGTGTCCATGCCATGAGTTTCAAAGTCCTTCCCAGTCCCCATGATATGTAAAGAGCAGGCAGAGCTCCCCAGGTGGCGCTGCAGATGAGACTGAGAGGTGTTTGCCAGAGCTGCTTGGCACAGGTGCTGCCTTATGGGATTGCTAATCTAGGGTACTAGTGGGCAGAGAGCTGTGGGCCCTCTGCTCCTAGGTGGGGAGTCACACTATCTCTGCAGCCCTGGGTAGAGCCCAGAGACTGGCACAAGACAAGACTGGTATGCTAGTTGTGGCGGGAGGAGGGGGGAGGGGGTTTGTCACCTTCTGTGCTTGGTTAAACCCAGACCAATGCTCCATGATGGGGGCGCCAGATACAGATCTGCTAGCAGATGGTTTCTCCAGGAGAAGGGATGACAGGGGTCTGAGTCGACATTGGCAAGGCTACCCTAAATGCAGGTACCTCACCCCATGCACCCTGCAGCACAGTGGTCCTACAGTGCCATAGAGCCTGGTGGACTCCTCTGTCACCTGGTCCCCTGTGAACAAAGCCCAGGACACACTGTGGGCTCCCTTTGAAACTACAGCAGCATGCAACTGACGCTGGACACCCGCAGGCCTCCCACACCTGACCCAAGTCAGGGCCTCAGTTTGCTGTAGCTGAGTGCTCTCCCTCCTGGCTTGCACTGCGGCCCTGCCCCTCTTAAGACCCTTGACCCAGAAGCCAAGCAATCCTGAAGTCAGATGGCAGCTCTTCTGCTCTGAACCTCTCTTGAGTCAGGGTCAAAAGCAGTGTTAACCTGCTCAGCCATCTCGCCTTCATCGTCTTCTGCATTTATCTACCAGAGGGGATCGCCCCACACCCTCTGTCCTCATTGAGAGTTCCAGGGGCAGCTCTCTGGCCAGCTCCCCCGGCAGCGTGCCAGGCACCCTGCTGCCCAGGGCCTTCGCCCCCGCTCTTCCCTGTGCTCCTTCTGTGCCCGTGGGATCCCACTTGCAAGTCTCTGCTCACCTGTCACAGCCCCGGGCCTGCTCCGGCATGCCCCTCCCAGGCCCAAAGGGACTGTTTCCGCACTGTACATAATGCTGTCATGGGCATTACGCTTTAGTTATTTGTTCTGCTTTCCCCTGTCTCCTCTACTACAGTGTAAACTTGAGAGAAGGCAGGAATTTATGCTTTGGTCACTTCGGTGTCACTGGTGACTCAGTGATCACCTGGCACACAGTTGGGGTTCGAATTTAAGTGAACATGGAATGGAGGGAGGGGGACCAAAAGGGCACTGAAAGGTAGAAGCCGCCTTTGTTCCCCCAAGAGATGAGGGGCGGGGCATCCAGAGTGCGGCAGGCCAGCTCAGTCCAAGGAATTGCTGGCACTATTGCTGAAAACGCACAGGGCTTCTGCACAGAGGCCGCGGGCCGGCTCCCAGGGCCCCGAGAGAGCCATTTCAAGGACCATGATAAAGCAAGAGTTTCCTGCCACCTGCCATTTTTATCTCACAAGCTTGAAAGGCTACATAATACCATCATATGCCAGGTTTTCCTATCACCACCCTTAATTTTCAGCAAAAGGCTATGAAAAAACTTAGGAGAAAGAGGAGTTGTTCCGTGAACGCAACCAAAGAAAGCATGGACTCTGAGGAACCGGGAATGCTGTAGAACTTAGTATGTCGCGTGGCAGGTTCACATGGAAATAGGACCTGCGTCCAGCTAACAGCAGGACTAGCATTTGAGCTTCGTCACCCTGATAATGAAGGAAAGCCTCTTGGACGTTAAATTGCAGAAGCTTACTATAAATTTCTCACCTACAAAGTGGTGCTGGCCTGTGTCACGGTGCAGCGACAAGAGGGTCTCCTCGGTGAGGACACTGGACCCACTCCGCTGACCCTGTTCTCTGGACCAGAGGCCCTGGCTGCTCCTCCCAGGGGGAGTACCCTGGGAACGCTGTACTGCACCCACTGGGCAGGCCTGAGTACTCACCTCCAGTACACTAGCACGGCGATGAGAAGGATGAGGCACACGACGGTCAAGGCTGAGACCACGATCAGAGGGATGATCCACTCCATCCTCCCTGGAGAGACGCGGCTTATCATCCCAGAGGTGTTCTTTTCTGCTGTGGAGAGAGAGAGCAGCTCAGTTAGACAGATGAGGCAGCAAGCGTGGGAGGCAGAGCAGGCCGTGGACTTCAGTGTGTCTTCCAGAGCCCGGCAGCCGCTGGCTGTCCTGTGCCAGGCGGAAGCATCCGCAGGCCTCTGTGCCACCTGTCCCAAGCCACGTGCGGTCTCTCTCAGGCTGCATCCTCTAATGGCCAGGGGCAAGGATCTGCTCACAAGCTGAAGGGAGCTCTGCAGCAGACGGAAGTGGATCCTGACTCAGAACATTCCCACCCTGCTGGATGCAGTAGGGTGTGAGATCAAATCCCCAGAGGGCAGGAAGGAGGTAGGGCGCCTCCTGTGTTCCCTAGAGCCAGGACCTCCTCTGTGGTAGGGTTCATGAGGAACCGTGGCAGCCCTGGGGGCTGTGATGCCTGCTTGTTGCCAGTTTCTCTTCCACTGCCTCCTCCTGCAGTGGCCGCGTGCCAGTTCAGCTTTGGGATGGTCATTCAGTATACGCCTTGGTGCTGTCACCATGGTGGCCTGGGATTTTCGATGGCATAGGGCCCTGTGGACACTGTCCCCCCAAGGATGTCAGACAGTGCCAACATCCATAAGCCCTGTGAGTATGTGAGTACTTTCAGTACTCTCTGCACAGAAGAAGGTGGCTAGCCGGCCATGTGTGGGGACAGAGGGAAGCAGACGCAAAAGCCATGTCTCTTCTATCCAGACAGCTGGGAACATGATAGTTCCTCAGGCATTCCTGGCCAGCCAGGGACACGGTGCGCCTACCGTCCTGCAACCAGGAAGGTCACCTCGGGATTTCTGCACCTTCTGAAGGGGTCGGCAGTGGTTGTCTCCAAGGCACCTTACAGGGTCCCTGAAGTCACCTTACAGGGTGAGCTTCCAAGGCACCTTACAGGGTCCCTGAAGTCACAGGTCCATCTGTGTGGTGGCACTTTGGTCTGTCCCTCTCTTGCCTCCTCCCCAAGTGAGTACTGAAAGTTTGCTTCAGCTGCTCATGGAGGCCTAGAGTCAGAGCAGGTGGTGGCCACCGCTGGAGGGGAGAATGTTGTCTGCGTGTTCAGGGCCTTGCACGCGCAGCCAGCCTGAGCGGGGCTGGGTGTAGACTCACCTCTGTGTGTGCTGCTGTGGGACCTCACCTCAGGGCAGGGGCTTATGGATGTTGGCGCTGTCTGACATCCTTGGGGGGACAGTGTCCAAGTAGCAGTGGCTGTGGGGCAGCCCTCAGGGTGACAACTGCTGGCAGTGTGACAGCCTTAGGAAACAATGGGGACCAAAGAGCTGATTTTGTTTCTGATCCACAGAATTTGTCTTTGCAGTACTAGTACAGGTCTGGATCCCAACTCCAGGTGACTGTTGAGGTCAGCTCCTGTCACTCTCCCAGAGGCAGCTCAGGCTGACCATGAGTGCCCACACAGGAAGAACAACCCCTTCCATCCAGCCTGCATTGGCCCCTCCCGCGTGGCTGTGGTCCAGCCACGTGCATCCAATGGTGGCCAGGCCAGGTCACCTCTCCGCTTCCTCCCCTGCTGGCTCCATTGCCAGGAATGCATCCACCTACCCTGGTTTACAGTTGTCCTTGCTCTGTCCCATCTCTGTGGGCAGAGTACAGCTGAGATCACAGGTTCAAATCCTAGCTCTGACACTTTTTTCCATTATCTTCAACAATAATTTAAACTAGTTTGGGCCTACAGTTTCTCCTCTTTAAAATGGCAGCATGGGCACAAGTCAGTGAGCACATTCATGAGGAAGACTTAAAACTGAGCCAACCCCCTATCACCACACACGGCACTGTCATCTCGTACCGCTCTAGCCGCACCACCCAGCTGTAGCGGTGCATGGCTGCTGTAGGGTCCCTGTGCAGGCCCAATCTCCCACCTGCATTTAGGAGAGCAGTAGAAAGCTGTCTCCTGCCAGCTGGCGACTCTGGCTAAGTGGCCTGTTTGCCTTGCTTTCCTTCTCTGTAAGTGCAGAGACAGTGGTACCTCGTTTCATGAACTTAATTCTTTCCACTGTTCTGGTCGCAAACTGAATTGGATCAGAACGGGATCAACTTGATGCTTGCTAGCCTTGACCTAATGGCGAAGTTTGATTTGATTCTCGTCCAGTTTTACTTGTGATCAAAACGAAAGGATCGAGTTTGTGAAATGAGGCACCACTGTGAGACTTACAGCAGCTTGGACACATACATAATTTAGCATGCTGGCTGGCCCTGATCCATCCCAGGCTAATGTTCAGCACTGTGACTACCATCACTACCACCCCTGCCACTCACTGCAGCTCAGTGCCACCGTCACTCACCCGACTCCATCCTCAGGCTGCCAGCAGAGAGCCAGTAATGGTGAGTGCTCCGCATGTCAGCAGCACCTGAGTCCCGGATGTTAGAGCTGAGCACACGTGTTAGGGACAGTCAGAACAGTTGTGGTCTGGCTGTCAGCCATGAGACTGCTGGTGAAAAGGGCTGGCAAGTTTGCCCCAAGGCAAGGCGAAGCTGGGCCATACTTCTGATGTCCTTCAGAAACACACTTGTGCTGCTGCCTCATTTGTTCTGTGACCCCAAAAAACCTGCAAACTGCTAGGAATGGCTGGGCATCTCTGGGCACCCACAGCAGACTGCACAGGCTGTGTCCCCAGATCTCAGCAGTCTCCTGTGTTGCCTTCCAGGAACCCAGAAAGTATGTGAAGCCATGAATGGCACCCAATACTGTGTATATAGTTGTTTCCCTATATGTATATACCTGTTCAATTTGCAAATTACACAGATTAAAAAAATAGAACAGCCAACCTACTAGAACGAATGTTTATGTGCATGTGGTCTCTCCCAAGAAATGTGCCATTTTGTACACCTTAAGAGACTTTGGCATACAACTTTTCTTTTTGAAGTACAGAAGTTGGACAAGCAGAAGCGCTGTGTGGCTGCTGTCCGGTGGATCTGAATGGAGAGCATCACAAGTCTAGTTCTCCGGGGCCGTCACTGAGTACAGCTGGGGTCCTTGCACACTAGTCTGACCCAAGACAGCGAGCCTGACACCTGCACAGGCTATGGAGGACTGGGGGTGGTGGTGGGCAGAGCGTGCAGCATGGATGTGCAGGACACAGTGAGAATTTACATCCTCAGCAGGGTGGAGCAAGTGTGTGACATTCTTCAGTCTCCTCAGGATGGCATACAATTAAAGCTGTTAATTTCTAGATTTTCCCACTTAACATTTCCCACTGCAGCTGACCGTGTGTCACTTAAACTGGGGAGAATGCCACTGTGTCTCTGATCCCTCCTCCAGCAAGGGAGACTTGGGGAGTCATGGGATTATGTGATGCTAGCTTAATCTGCAAGGCTACATGAAAAAATGGGATTCTCTCCACAACCGCCCTGCACCCTGGGAAGCCAGAGCACCCAGCAGGCCTGGGACCTTGCACTGCCACTCACTAGCAACTGCACAGTGGGCTGGCGGAGCCCCGTCCCGCCCTGCCAGGGTAATTCTTTCTATGCTGTGGCCTATGGGTAGACAAGAGTTGACATAAAAAGCTGCACAATGGGGGCTGGGGAGATAGCTCTGTAGAATAAGTGCTTGTCTGGCAAGCGCAGGGTCCTGAGTTTGATTTCCAGTACCACAAAAACAAAAAAACTGCACAAGCAGAAAGGCTTCTGTGGAAATGCTCAAGGCCAACAGAAAGGGCTTGAGTTTCTACGTGGCACACGCCCTTCCTGCGGGGTCTCCACCTGCGTCCACAGTCCGCACTGCTCAGACATTGTGCACCAGGCCTGCTCTCCTCAAGGGCCCCTCCTGCATACTTACTCTAGTGAGCCAGTTTCCCTGTGCAAAGTGGCAGTGCCACCAATGCAAGAGAAGAACCTAACCTTGAACCTTCCTTCCTCCCTCCTGTCATTCTCATTCCTTCCTGCCCGTGCATTCAGCCAGCCATCCACCCACCCATCTGCCTGTCTGTCCATCCGTCCATCCATCCAGCTACCTATCCACCCTTCCATTCATTAGTGCTGGGGATCAGGCCCAGGGCTGCTCTTCTCTGAGCTACAATCTCAGCCACGTTTTTTCCCCCTATAATTTTATTGAGAAATAAACAGCAATGAGACACTTTCAAATCAAATTGGTAGAACAGTTCCAATAATTAACACATTGCATACTGCCTTCCTAGTGGTTATTTGTTGTACAAGATGCAGATGATATACTATTTAAAAACATTATTAGACCCAATCCTTTTATTCCTTGAATTAAGAGAATGTAGCTATATATCTTTCCTAACCATTTTGAATACACAGATACCAAATGGTCATTCATCTATATCCCAGTCTCAGCCTCTTAAAAACAAATTAGAGATGGGTCTTACTCAGTTGCAGACATGTGACTTAAACTTGTGATCCTTCTGCCTCAGCCTCCCTTGGCATTGAGATTAAAGCTGTGCCACTATTCCCGGATTCTGTGTTTTTGCCATTGGCTGGTCTCATTGAGCAAATATAAAAATAACCTTTTATATTTGAAGAGGTTTCATTTTTCCATGAATTAGAAATCAACCATGCTGCGGCTCCGCCCATATACCACTTTGCACTCAGTCACCCCTGAATACCTCTGCACTCCACCCCACATGGATGGGGGTGCAAAGCTCCTGTGCTTGAAGGGCCAGGAGCCAGGCAGTCAGTTCGGACCCCGCCCTCGAGAATGTGTGGGCTGCAGAACCACCTTCACAGGAAGCATGGGCAGGGATGCCGAGCAGCCCCTGAGCACCAGGGAGGAGGATGGGAAGGCTCGGCCACCTCCCGGCAGCTTTGCTGGGCTCACAGTCTCCACTCCCACATCGAGCAGCCTCTGAGGAACATGCTTCTATTCTGCTTT